AGAGAATAAGAGTGTACATAATGATTTTATGAAGTGCAGCAGTGATGGATGACAGTCTGGAAATCCTAACACTGAATGAATTAATGGCTGGAGAGAGAGTAGTAGAGAGTGAGTGAGTAGAGAGTAGAATATCAAGCCTGATCAAGCTAGATATTCTATGTGCAGAAAGAGACACATTTAACAGCATTTATCACACCTTAATTTTCCCACAGTGTACGTATTTATAGCACTGTAGGCTGCTCTATAGCCACTGGGGAGAAACAGGAAAGTGTTGGGAGCAATTAATCTGGCCCATTTTCATGTGTTTTAGGATGAAGTGAATCATGCTCTGTCACCCTCTGACAATATTACATATGTCATTGTTGTAAAAGGATACTATGGTGGATAAAGAGCAGTATATACCTGAAGACCTGTGAAACTCACCAAGGTCTCCAGTTGTGCCACATCTTGAATTTCCCAGATCAGTGGGAAATTAATTGCTAGTTTCAATTGTGTATGATTAAGCTCGTGCTGTACAATAGGGATATGTTGTTGGGATGGAAGAGACAAACTGATACAGGTGTAGTAAGAATGAACTTGTTAATTGGGTGTGCATAAGGGTGTGTTTTGCTAAGAAAAAGAAAAGATATATGACTGCAATATTGTCAAAAATGTGTAGTAATCAGAGGAGGGGGAAATGAGGAAAGGTGTGAGTTGAAAGCCCACAAAAGTGCCTATTGTTTAACAGTTTTACTTCTAACAGCCCCTAGCAGTGCACCAGTAATATCATCATTTCAGCATTCAGCTCTAGACCACTGTAGTCATTCAGTGACTATAAATGCCTCCAGGACATTTCAGCAGTTTTCTCAGATTTCCTGTACCATAATAAATAAACCTGTAAATATACATAAAGTGAGTCTTAATGTTCTCCTTGGAATTCTGATGACAGCCACTCAAGTTTTAGTCTCATGATTGTTGATGCATCTGAATGTAGTCTAGATGTAGGAAATCCATCTTTTGTGTTATTTCATCTATTTGTTTGGAGAAGTCTGAAAAAGTATCATTCTGTCCTGTGCTGTAGATGCCTGCAGAGTCCTAAAATATTGAGGAAAAACTGAGGTAAAAAATGCATTCCTCAGAAAACGTTAGTGACTTGTAATGTTTTGAATGTCAAAAACTTGTATATTGATTTCCTTCTTGCAAGCTGGCTTTGAGATCTGATGCAAATTCTGTTGATTAATTTTGGTGGGAATAGGACTTGGACATCTGTTTTTCTGTGTAATATTTCATGTAAGTGAAGCTTGAATAAGAGTTTTGTGGGGGTTTTGTGGAAAAGGTACTAATGGACTCTGAAGTCCATGTTGTTCAGCTGCTGTTTTAGCATAACCTTAGCCCAGTCTATATAGCAGTGTAGCAAAAATGTATAAAGGCCTCTGAACTATTTGCAGATTACTGTAGCAAATCCACCATTTTACTGGGAATGTACTGAACAAAAGGGAAAATTTGTGAAAGTCATCAGCTTTTATGGGTGTGCATGAACACTTTCATGACTCATCTCAGCTATCACTTGTTAGTGGAAATGGGGATGAACTAAAAAGGTCTGAAGTCGCACAAGATGCTAATTATTCTTGTGTACTCCAGGGCTTGTTTATGCTGGCTCAGGCTCAGTACATCCATCAAAGCCAGAAGAGTTGCATTTTGTTGCATACAGTTCTGAGTGCTGGCAGATGAAGAAAATAGTTTCCTTGTCTTTCTTGTATGTCATGTTGTTGACGTTGTTTCTGGCTTAAAATCAATTGGGAAGGAAGCGTGACCTCAATTGGCTGAAGTAAATATTCTTTTACTTTGCATAAGCCCTGGTGTTGCATCATAGAGATGCAGGGCTTGATTTGAATCCAGTACTGCAACTCAGGAAGCACCTAAGTTTGTTTAAGTTCCATTGACTTCAAAGCCTATGAAGATGACTTGCTCAGATGTAAACCTCTCAAATTATATACACATGGCCAAGTCAGCATCGCCTCAGAGATATCATTACTAATGCTAAAAGAAAAGCCACAAGTGCCAGAGGGAGTAGAAAGTAGTCAAGTAAAACAGAGCACAGATAAACCCCACAAGTTAATTTTTAAAGAAGTGTGTGAACCAGCTGTAGGGGCAGATACACTAGAAACGACAAACTCTGCATGATCATCAGGAAAAAAAGGGGTGATGATGGAGTTCAAAGAATATTACATTCTGAGTCAGTTGCTAAAAACACTCATTCAAAAGGTAAGGACCAGAAACCTGTAAAGAGTGAATTGTCAATGGGAACAGGAACTTCTCAGCCAACTGTGGGATACAGATAAAAAGAATGCCACTCTCAGAGTTCCTAGTCTTAAGTAAATCTCCCTTACCCTAAGGCAAAGCTAAAAGAAGGAATACGATATGTTGGTCTAGGGGTCAAAGTTATGAAAGGAACCAAAACAATTAGTCCTCTCCAGGTAACTTGAGAACTTGACAAGCTGAGGTTAGTCACACAGTATTAAGCAAGTAAGGGTGGGATTGTCTAAAACTAGGTACCTACAGTTTAGATTCTGAAACTGAATTAACGACTTCAGGCTCTCTTGGGAAGAAAAAAACATTTTTAGGATGAAATTATTTTCACCCATTTTAGGTGTTTGCTTTAGAAATACATTAATTTAAACATGAGTCAGCAGTGCACCCTTATGGAGATTGAGGCATAACCATATACTGTGCTACATTAGCAAACTGATAGATCAAGAGAAGCAATTGTCTGTCTCTATTTGGCTCTTGTGAGACTGCATCTCAGTGGAGTACCGTGTCCGGTTTTGGGCTCCTGTGTACAGGAAAGCCACTAATCAGCTCAGCAGAGAACATGGAGATGGCACGAGAATATGCAGCATATAACGATTGACTGAAAGCTGGGTTTGTTCAGCTTGGTGAAGCGTGATCTGATTGCTGTCTTCATCTATCTAATGGGCTTATAGAGAAGATGAAGCCAGACACTTCTCAGATGTGAACAGCAAAAATGTAAACAAAAACCACAACAAGAAGCAATGGAAGCAACCTGCAGCAAGGCAAATCCTAATTAGATGCATGGCAAAATTCTTCATGGAGGGAGTTGTGTGTGTGCCGGTTGCCTAGAGAGGTTGTGACAGATTGGAGATTTGGAGACTCCAAATCTCTTTGGAGATTTTTAGTGCTTGACTGGAAAAGGCATTGAAATGAGTATGATGAGTGTGTGAGGTAATGAACAGTAATACATTTGTTGCATACCTCTTTGGAGGTTGATACAGCATACAAGGCAGTGGAGAATAAGGCATTACATGTTATCTAACCACACGGATAAACTGTGTGGAGTGTTCCCATCACTAATCCCTTATTTTTGGCATCAACTTTCTGAATATAGAACAGATGCTGCATTTAGAGCTGTATAATCCTAAGAGGAGTGAAGAAACACCCAGTCCTCAGGAACAAGTGACTCCTCCGGAGAATAGCATTTCCTTGGGAAACTGTGTAAAGATGACTCTATGGAATTGGTGACCAAATGCAGAATTTAGTCCATAATTCTCCTCTGGCCTTCTTTTTTCATCTCCAAACCCTATTCTTGGTACAGCACAGAGGCTCCCTCCCTACTATCACACTTAGATGTCTTCCAAAGGAAAGCAAGGCCCATGGGAATGCTGTGCCACTGGCTCTCCTTCACGCTGCAGCAGGGACATGCCCCTAGGAGTGAATCCAACTGCCAGTTCTGTAACACACTCTTGGGTTCCCTAGTTTACAGGTACTTTGAAAATAACTTAAACTTTGAAAGTAGGATGCTAGACACTTTAAGTCAACATGAGCTGTCCAAGTTTAGTTGCACTAAGATGGTTTAACACAAATACAGAACTTTTAAATGTTACTTTTCCAGCTTCATTTAACTCAGGTGGCTTGATTTTGGGCATGACCTCACTAGCACAGAGTAAGTCAATAGTGAATTGCTAATACTATAAATATGCTGAAGGATAGTATTATACATGGATGTGAGTAGTTCCTAATCCAAGTTTCATGTTCTCTACTGAAGGGAACAAATTCTCCCTAATACTTTCTAATAATCTTATGGAGATAATACTGGTAGAATAAAAGTTTTGCATTTCTCTTTAGTGTTAATTACAAATTTAAATTGTCAATTGCCTTATTTGAAGACATAAATGACCAGAACTTTACACATGATCTTTTTTTTTTTTTTTGGAGAGAACTTGAGATGAGATAATATGAGTAACATTTCCTTATTTCTTTGTACTCATAATTTTTCATAAGGCTTATACTCAGAAGCCTTCATAACTATATACTTAGCTTAGGAGACATGCATTATAAGTAGTTACCTTTAATCAAAGAGAGCATGCTTGATCCAAGTGCCTGTAGCGGGCTATAGAAAGATTTGTGCTCATTCACAAGATACTACTTCTGAGCCACATTTATAGAGACACCGTCATGGGCAAAACCGTAACAAGTAGTTGTTATCTACTAGTAACACGTTACTAGTCCTAATATAAAGCATGCCTATAACATTTTATGAACCCCCTTCCTGAAATAAATATGCAGAAGCATTCTTTGTTCAAATCTCTGTTATTTATTTAGGAGGCATGATTTTGTTAGTCCATGCCCATTGTTCCAAAAATTCTCCAGTCATGATGCACTCCTGCTGTATTTGTGATGCTGAGTCCAATGAACTATTTTTACATTTTTTAACATTTTCTTATCTTGTCTTAGCATGATCCCATAAAAATGACATCATTTTAATGAGTTGTTTTGCAAACAATGTATAAACTGACCTAAAAAAAAGCTGGTTAATCAACAGACTCTTTATGATTCCCTTAACATTTTCTTGCAAAACACCATCTTTGCAACTTTCTTGAAAGAATGTGATCTTCCTTGAACTACTCCTCCAAAGCTTACACCAAGTCTTTATAAGGTAAATACATTAGGGTGATTTGGACCAGACTGAGCTTTCAAATCTGTTACTGCTGGTTTTGTTTCAGGATGTGTTGGAGTTTGGGATAACATCACCTGTTGGCGTCCTGCGAAGATTGGAGAGACTGTCACTGTCCCTTGTCCAAAAGTATTTAGCCTTGCTTCTGGCAAACCAGGTATTTCATTTTAAGGTGTATTTTTGCTGATTTCTCTTTGGTATTTTATAATAGAATATACTAAAAATGTTGGGTTAGGTTTTTTTTCAGTTTAAGATTTCTATTTTCTTTTTAAAGAGTTAAAATAACAGATTCTTAACCATTCGTGATACATCATGAAAAGACCAAATAATTGTTTTTCTTGTTCATATGGTGTTCTTTGAGTCAAATACTAAGTGTATATTCTGATATATATACACCACTTATATACACACAGGCCTATGGGGTTGAATGGGATCCACCCAAGGGTACTGAGGGAGCTGGTACAAATGCTCACCAAGCCACTTTGCATCATTTATCAACAGTCCTGGCTAACCAGAGAGGTCCCAGTTCACTGGAGGTTGGTAAATGTGATGCCCATCTACAAGACGGGCCAGAAGGAGGATCTGGGGAACTAACGGCCTGTCAGCCTGACCTCACTGCTGGGGAAGGTTATGGAGCAGATCACCTTGAGTGCCATCATGCAACATGTTCAGGACAACCGGGCAATCAGGCCCAATCAGCATGAGTTTATGAAAGGCAGGTCCTGCTTGACTAATCTGATCTCCTTCTATGACAAGGTGACTCGCTTAGTGGATGAGGGAAAGGCTGTGGATGTTGTCTGCCTAGACTTTAGTAAAGCCTTTGATACTGTTTCCCACAGCATTCTCCTAGAGAAACTAGCTGCTCATGGCTTGGATGGGCGTTCTTCACTGGATAAAAAACTGGCTGGATGGCCAGGCCCACCACCCGAGTTGTGGTGTAATGGAGTTAAATCTAGTTGGTGGCTGGTCACAAGTGGTGTTCCCCAGGGCTCAGTTCTAGGGCCAGTTCTGTTTGACATCTTTATCAGTGATCTGGATGATGGGATCAAGTGCACCCTCAGTAAGTTTGCAGATGACACAAAGTTGGGCAGGAGTGTTGATCTGCTTGAGGGTAGGAGGGTTCTACAGAGGGATCTGGACAGGTTGGATTGATGGTCTGAGGCCAATTGTATGAGGTTGAACAAGGCTCGGTGCCAGGTCTTGCACTTAGGTTACAACAATGCCATGCAACACTACAGGCTTGGGGAAGAGTGGCTGGAAAGCTGCTTGGGAGAGAGGGATCTGGGGGTGTTGGTCAACAGCTGGCTGAATGTGGGCCAGCAGTGTGCCCAGGTGGTCAAAAGGGCCACTAGCATCCTGGCCTGAATCAGAAATAGTGTGACCAGCAGGACCAGGGAAGCGATTGTCCCCTTGTACTTGGCACTGGTGAGGCTGCACCTTGAATACTGTATTCAGTTTTGGGCCCCTCACTACAAGACATTGAGGCTCAACAGAGCTGTGAAGGGTCTAGAGCACAACTCCTGTGAGGAGCAGCTGAGGGAACTGGGGTTGTTTAGTCTGGAGAAGAGGAGGCTAAGGGGACACCTCATCGCTTTCTACAACTACCTGATAGGAGGTTGTAGCGAAGTGGGTGTCGGTCTCTTCTCCCAAGTAACAAGCGATAGGACAAGAGGAAATGGCCTCAAGTTGCTCCAGTGGAGGGTTAGATCAGATACTAGGAAAAATTTCTTCACTGAAAGGGTTGTCAAGCATTGGAACAGGCTGCCCAGGGAAGTGAAGGTATTTAGAAGACATCTAGATGTGATGCTTAGGGACATGGTTTAGTGGTGGACTTGGCAGTCCTAGGTTGACGGTTGGACTTCATGATCTTAAAGGTCTTTTCCAACCTGAACGATTCTATGATTCTGTTTCTATGTAGTGACACTCATCAAGGCTGAAGACATTGCTTGGTCTTTTTGACCTATTTATGTTAATTATTAAGGCAGCTGAGCCTGACTGACATCTTTAACAATTGCCAGCAGGTCACATGGAAGTTGTTCTTTCTGTACTTAGGAGGGGAGCTCTGCCTGCCTTCACGAGAATAATGAGCCAGCATTAACATATAATACCTAAAAAATATCACTATTGCAATTAAAGGCAGTTATTATGAAACTTTTAATTCTGCTTTTTAATGGAACTTGAAAAGAGCTCATCAGTGTCTCAGACTGTTGAAACAGTTAACTGTTTTAAGTCTACTGTCTTCTGCACCATCTTGTCAATGTATCATACTGCAGTTTAATTTTGCACTTTGGCTTTTTGGTGGAGTTTTAAAAATAAGATGATGCACACATAGCATTTCACACATGTATCTCAAAATACAGTGAGAAAAAATCTTATCCCTATTGTTCAGGTGAGAAACATTTGTCATGAAGAGCTGGTGAAAGATGCAAAAATTATCACAGTGATTTAATTCTGCTTTTGAGGTCTCTGTGGATAGCTTTTTAAAAATATTACTTTTAACATAGAGGCTAAATTGGAGTATGACTAAAATACCTTTATTCTCAAAACTGTTGATTAAATCTTATTCCAGTAAAAAATAGATAACTCAAACAATCTACAGATGAGCAAGGGTTTTCATTCCTGGAGCTGGTGAATCTTGATTAGTTTATCATGGATAGTCTAAACAGTTTATAAAGGGGAAAGTTTGTGTAATCTTCACTAAATCTTGTGAAATCTGTAAAAGTATTCAAATGACTCAAACCAAGATATTAAGGTGTTGTCATCAGACAAGGCAAACTAATAATTATCAAAAATTCAAAATCTGAATTGAATCAAACTGTTTCTGTCTATTTGCCAAAAGCTAGAGCATGCATGGAGTTTGGATGTTTGCTATTTAACAACTGTTAGTATCTTATATTAGAACATTTTAATTTTCCTATGAAACAGCTGCAATAAATATTTAACTCTGAAAACTTCACAATGCATTACAACTCTGTCTCACTTGGGCATCCTGTCATCAAGACTGAAGGATTACTTCCTTTTTATAGTTTGCTGTAATTTTCCCCTATAGAGCTTTTTATAGCTACCTGTCTACTTCTTGCCTGTGTTCCACAGGGTGGGGTTTTAGAGGTACCTGTTCAATTAAGAGGATTTTTTAAATCTTGTCTTTCTATAATTTCAGAGAAGGAAGACAGCAAACATCTTGCATGGTTGATTCAATTAAGATCTAACTAAGTATCTCAGCACCTTTATAATTTGATTATGCTCAGGAATATATAATTGATTTAATTCATACACACCACATTTCAAATTCACTTGATTCTTATAGCAGGAAATTATAAAAATATCTTTAAACCAGAAATCTAGCTCTTTTTGTTTAGCCAGATTTGTGAGATTTTTTTTTCCAGGGTTTAAGAGGAATTAAAAGGTGATCTAGACTATCTTATTTTTTATGGAAGTATTCCAAATCATAAGTAGGCTTTCAAATGCCATCAATCTTTAAAGGATTTCTTGATTTAGATTGTGAATTAAAAAGAGTAGTTGTCTTCTCATCTTTACAACTTTTGGAGAACTCTTTATTTCTTCTATGATGGTCAAGGTTATAGTTTAAGCATACTGTATAATTAATTCTCTATGGAATATTAGTAGCTATATATTAAATAACTTTTTACTGTAAAAGCAGTCATATTATTCTATAATGTTTTTTCTGTATTGTGCATGACAATGTAAGTATATGAGCATCAGCAGGTTATTCTGTGAATTTTTTAGTCAAATGTATGTGTCAAGTTAGAGGTTTTAAAAGAGGTTGTTGTCTGAAATATTTAGTTGCATGGAACAATGGTGTAGAAATAAACAATGTCCTCCACATTGCCTAACTGCCTTTAAGTTAGAAGGTCTTACAGTACTTAGAGTAGAAAATATTTCAGCATCTTGAGCACATAGAGTCTTTTTCTTGCAAAACTGGCTTTGATGTAACTTGTGGTTCTGTTAACATATTCCTCTGCTCTGCCTAGTCAGAGGATCTTGATGTACTTTTAAAGTGAAGACTCTTCAGAGTGTATAAATAGGTTACATTTTCTTTAAAAAATGCCACGTGTGTGCCAAATGGCAGAAGTGGTCCTGTTGCCTGAGGAAGGACTGTGGTTTGAGGTCAAGGCCTTGCTACAAGCTAGAAAGATTTGGTTCTTGGCTGGTCAACCATTTGTAGGATATTTACAACTTTCCACTAAAGACTTTATACAAAGAAGAAATTATAGTAACCAATCAGCAAGATAAAAATCACAAAAGCTTTAGTTTGGAGTCTGTATAAACATGTTTGGTTATTCTTGGCCAAAGTTCATCTGGGACACATAAACTTGTTCTTGTGTGGTGAAAACCAGGGATCTTTAAGTCAGTTAAAGACCAGTGGTAAACTCCAAACCAAAGCAGTATGTTATATTATAGATTTCAAATATCACGGGTATTAAAATTGCTGTAAGAAAGGTGAGGGGAAGTTGCTTATGATTTAACATTGTAAGAGAAAGTTATAATAATTTTAATGACTATTCTTTATTCTGACGTCAAACTCTTCAGTTTTCTTCTATTGAAGCTGTTCCATATTGTATGAACATTAGTTCATAATATTTAGATTAAGGAGTAGAATCATGGGTTGCCTCCAACTCATCTGTGTGACTTCCATCTGAGAAAAGAGTCAACTTCTCTCAGTTCCAACCAAAAAATCCTTTCTGAAATGAATAGATATTCAAAATTCCTTTCCAACCGTATTTGCACATTCTACACGTTCCTTGGACTACACTGTTTCAGTGATTGGTTCAAAGAGTGAGATTCAGCATGCATATTTATTTCCTTATTCTTCAACCTATCACGTAATTTGGCCTTTACAGTGCATTACCAACTTTACCAACATTTGCTGTAGCAGTAATTAATCACCATAATATCTAAGAGCTTTTATAAGTCTTCAGTAGATCATTTGGTATTACCTTCTCAGAAAAGCTTAAATAGGAGGTTACAACAACTCTCACTTAAATTACTTTTATATTAAATTAATTTACCTACAAATTATCCCCTTTATAGAGTGAGCCGAAAGACTCCCTCCAGAGTACTTCACATAAAACTGCAGAATATTTCAGGCTTTTGCAGATGTAAGAGAAATAGCTGTTATACCAAAGCAGAAGCCCGCCATCACAGCTTGGAATTACTTTCGTTTTTCTTTAGTACAAAGGCAACTCAGAGCAAGAGTAAAAGCCAAAGTAATATGAATGAAGAGCACAGGAAAGGAAATGGCTGGGTTGCTTTAACAGGAGAGCTAGGAAATACAGCATGTTAACAGAGAATGACAAAGTTAGGTTGTCTAAAGATTCATTGATGAGGAGACTTTTGAATCTTTCTGATTTAAACTCTCAAATTTTGCTTTACAGGAAATATTAGCAAAAATTGTACGAGTAATGGATGGTCAGATATTTTTCCTGACGTCTTAAGTACTTGTGGATATAATGACGATGACGATGATTATAAGGTAGGAAAAATACTTTTTTTATTCATTTAGATGCTAGTGCTCAATGCAGCTATCAGACATATTCTGCTTCTAAGTAATTCCCATTTTACTCCATCAGAATTAATTTGGAACTCTGTAGTAATTTTTGTTAGCATTGATTGCCATATGCTTGGATTGCGAGCGTCATGTAAGATAAAATCAGAAATATAGAATTCAGTGGCTGTTTGAAACTCAAGACTATAAACAGTTGGTAGTTGCAGGCATGCATGTGTATTTCTAATACTGCAGTGTATACTGGGCTTATGCACAATATATTTTTCATTGTGTTATTTCTAGCATTTTCTAGTATAACAAATCCTAGTACTGTAATAATCTGTTAATAATACATGCACCACTTGATTGCTGGTATGTGTTTAAGTTTTAAGTGAAATAGAATGAGTTTAAGTAATTGGAATTACTGCAAATTTATATTGGACTTCAAACTGTGTTAGCAATTAGAAGTGGTTCAAAAAGCTATCAAGATATCTTAAATACAGTATAAATGGAAAAACAAATTTGTTCACTTTGCAGATCCTATCTCTTGTTCTTTTTGTTGAGGGAAGTACCTTTTCGATCATGTTTTACCCATTTATGTAAGTGTCAGTAAACCTCCTGTTATGAACAGACGAAGTCCTCTCATGAATAAAGATACTTCACTGTCTGGGTTCTTGTGAATTTTAGTATGTGTGGAATAGCTCTAGCAGACCTGTTCTGTCTGGTTTGCAGAGATGTGCTGGCATTCTAGCTAAGACATGCTGGTCTTACCATCTCTTTCTGTATTTAAAAGCCCAGCCATTACTGTAGTTGAAAATAGAGAATAAAGAAAATGGATAGAGTATGCTGTTTTCCCAAGTTTTCTGAAGACACATTCTTCAACATTGGTATCATCCGACAGCCTGGGGACACACATGCATTACTACTAAACCAGCCATTTTAAAACACTGTCATTCAACCCAGACATTGTCTTGTAGAGTGAAAATAGGTCAAGACTTAAAAATTCAAATTAACAAGATAACATTTCAAGTAGTGAGAAATACTTAATTAGCAGATGAACTAGTATTCTAGAAAAGCAATTCTTGTTTGCTATATTCATTAGTAATTTGAAGGAGAAGAGTGAAATGCAAGTTGACTATAGTTGCAGAAATGAACCAAGAGACACTGGAAATAGGAAGCAGTAGCAACATTTGCAAAATCCTGGAAAAGATCAAATAATAAACCAGTGAGGACAAAAATCAGAAAAGACATGTGGAAAGCAGGTACTGAAAAAATCGTTAACAAAAGTACAATGGATAGACAGAATATAGATATCTAACATCGATAGTATATAGAATAAATGCGTAGCATGTTGCAGGGAGGGGAAGGGGAAATGGAAGCACTGGGTGCATTTCAAGCAACATGGCCCGAGAGCCCTGTGCTTCCTTCTCAAGTACCAGTGTCATTGCTCAGGCAATATTGTTTGCTTGAAGATGATAAACTGGTTTTTTCAGTGGGACAAGGCAATAATTCTTTTCTAACCTTAAAGTTGACAAATCAAAAAGTGGATAAAATGGTGCTGGCTTGTCAGAAGATAAACTGTTCCTCTGCAAATATTATATATTTTGTAGCTAAAGAAAGGATAAAATTTGCAGAATAATATCTGAAAAGGGAAATAGGAAAGCATATCCATGGGAGACAATATAAAAAAATGCAAGTATCATGCAGTTGTGAGATTTTAGGAGGCATTTAAGGTTCTGCATCAGCCAACTGCTACACAGAAAGAAGATACTTTCTTGAATTCGGATCTTCGAGCTCAGTGGGGGCGCCTCAAAACAAAAAATCTTTACTCAACATAAATCAGTATAGTTCATTCTTATTTGACCTATAATTTCAACAAAAAGACCTCAAAATCTGAAATGTTTGGATACAAAATACTTTGGACACAAAAATATCATGCAACAATACGCTTTGCGGTTGATGTGTGAGGTTGCCCTCAAAGTTACAGTAACTAAGGAGATCATATTTTAGGGAAGGTGGCAAAATACTTTTCTTGTGGTAAGTCATTAAATTTTCTTCTGTATGCTTTCTCTGAAGACAATGTTAAAGGAGTAGGTAGAAACTTTCTTTGGTGTCAGTTTAGTGCCTGCATCCTCACTGCAGAATGAATTTCCATTATAGATCCAACTAAATTTTTTTTTTTTTTGCTGTCTTCTAGGATATGTACTTGCATCTTTACTTCAAAGGGGACTTATTTCAATACATATTTTATATTTATTTTTTTTATATATATGCATACACACAGAGATATGCACCTATCTGGGGCAGTTTTGAATATTCTAGAGAAAGTTTAAATGATAGAGATTGGTGAGCAAATATTGAACAGGCGATTTATTAATAGATACCAAATTTTTATGCTGAAAATGCACTGAAATGAGAAAGCTTATTGAAAAAATACAATAAGCATGTAATCTATTATTTCTCTGCCAAGTTCACTGATACTGTTCAGGGTATGAAAGAACTTCTCTGCTTCCACAGTTTGCATTGATTTTACTCAGAGTCAAAATGTTCCATTTTTATTCCATGTCAAATGGTATATTAGCAGTTTCTGTAAAAAGAAACAATTTGCTTAACATTTTGAAATTAACTATAAGTTCCTGATACGGCACCCTTAAATAGAATGTTTTCTTTTATGTTAGATCTTCTGTTGGTCTTCTTTAGTGCTCCTGTCTGTATTTATAGGGGACCAATTTGACAAGTACGACAGTGTCTGAACAAACTATCTGTATGTTGTTATCACATCAAATTGTAGATCTAAACCTTTATTATATACTTCCAGTCTCTTTCCTATAAGTAAACTAGTTACTGCTAACCTTCAAGACAAAGGTTTAGATTCATCAAGTAAGTGTCTCTTTTTCCTTATATATTTACGTTGATGTCATGGCAGCACAATGGGTAAATGAACAGCTTGATTTGACCGTGCTAGAGACACACGTCAAGGTGTGTTAACCCAATCCAAGCCTCACTGCAATCTTCCCTTTCATGTGGACATATTTTCACATCTTCTATCTAGACTGAACAAGCTGGAGATGTGTCCTAGCTGTCCTCAGAGGGTATTAAACTCTGTCAACATTATTAACATATGGCAAGATGCCTGGCCAATGTAAAGGACTGAAATGTGTCCACTTTACTTCAAATAATGACTGGGTCAGTGTTGTCTAATCTTAGTGTGAATTGGCCTGAGGTTTATTAGATCACACAAAACCCAATATATACAAGTTAGAGGCTATGTGATTTGCATGCATAGAGTCATACAAAGACAAATTCATGGAGAGAAAGAACCTCAGGGCTGTTAAATGTGGGGATACTGTTGCAGTTTGCACATAAGTAGAAGCATCATCTATGGAAGAAGTATTGCCCTATTTGGCCAGTTTCCTGAAGTTTCACTCTTAGGCTGCTGTCAGAGATAATATCCTGGGTGTGCTACCCACTACCCAATACAGATACACTACCCAAGACAAGTGGAGTCAAGGCAGCGAGGTCAGCACTGATGCAAACAAACACTGTCTTGAACGTCCACAGCTACCTTTAGAAAACATATGCATTACTACTATCTGTGAAGTGCATCATTGCACTGGACTAATGGATTGTTTGTATTGAGTCTAAATTGAATCCTTCCCTCTCAACAAAATTTAATGCAGGGCAGCCATCTACCAATGCTTTTTCTGCATGCCTATAAGTAACGCTATATTTATTTACATTACATTCTGCATTTTTCATTACTTAATGATGCTACTATTATTAAGAGATACTTAAGGCAATACTGGTCTCATCTTTTTGGGGTGATGTTTAGGCTTAAGGTGAATTGAAGGAGAAATGTGTCGGAAAAGGGATATCATTAATTACTTGCATAAAGATTGTTGAGTACCATGAGGAATACCAACTTTATTACATATATTTTTAGTAAATTCTATTTTGCTCTGCACCATTTAAAAAAGTGTAAAGTGCCTGATAAGAAAAAAAAAAAAAATTGTCCACAACATGTAATCCATCTATTTATCGTAGTTTATATTTATTCTAAGTACTACAAGATTTTAGAAGTGGCTAGCGTGGTGCTGAAGTTCATTTTGCAAAGGGGAAGAACTAGGGTTCTTTGTTCCACTTCTATTTGCATTTGCTCATTTCAGTGTTTCTAAAGCACTGAACTCAGTTGCTAGGCCCAGTTCTGATTTTACAGTGTTTCTACAGTTTAAGGCTTTCTGATACGTTCTTCTAGTATGAATACTTGGATATTATGGAATTTACTCTGACACACGTATCATGAAAATGTAAAACCACAAATTTTAATATACTTGGAGGTAATCGTATCTGTGAATACTAGACTCTCTTACATACAGTATTACAGGAATATACAAGTCCACAGAATAAACAAAATGAAGAGTCACTTGGGATGATAATGATCGTAAGTACTTTAGTAGTGATCAATTATAATTTTGGTTAAATGAATAAAGAGGTGTGGGTTTTTCTTTTACTTTGAAGGTGACATCTGGTCAATAGTAAAACTCTTTAGACGAAGAACCAAGCCCTAAACTTTCTTCAGAGCATTTTGTCCTTCAGCACTGAATTACTCTCTCACCCCTAGAGGTCCTTCCAAACTAAGACTGAGGTTGACAGTTCCACTGGGTAACTATCAACTTTGCCTAGGAAACTTCTGTGCTGTCTGTTTTGTAGATAAACACAAGACTTCTGTCTCCTGAACTCAGTAAAAATAAAATTAAACTAACTTGAAAGGAAACATTAGCAGAAAAAAAGGTGTCTGTTCTAAGAAAACAAAACACAAGTGTGCATAAGAATGGATTTTACAAAAAAGTGTACTGAAGATAATTCCAATTACACAAACTTGTACTGATCAAATTGATTTTTATATGTGCGAGTTTTGGTACTCTTTTAAAATCTGTTAACATTAGGTAGCCACAAAAAAAAAAAAAAAAGAGGATTGGGTCTTTATA